TTGGAGCCTCTCTAGGCGCACTTTCTGGTGGACGAGTAGGGATTACCAGTATGAGTGTTGTCAATCTGCGATCCTGTATACCCATTGCAATAAGGTATAGCAATATATATATATATAGCAATGAATGCAACTATGTAATCAATTTGTTTGATCAGTAAAAATGTGGCCATGACTTGAACTCTGACTGTTGAGATCAGTGTATATGTTCTGGTTCAATTTTATCCTTGGTTTAATTTTTATTTTCTTTTGTTTTAAGCTCATTATCATATATTACCATACCCAAAAACAAAAGAAAATAAAAATTAAACCAAGGATAAAATTGAACCACAACATATACACAGAGGCATAACATAATAGCCTAGTATATTCAAGTAAAGCAAAGTTTTCTTTGTACAGAGCAAAGATGACAACTTGATGGCTATTTTCAAATACATGTCAGGGAAACAGTTAAAACTACTGAGGTTCACAAAGCCAAAATGTCAACTAAGTAAACCGTTCTTTTTCAGTCATGGTCTGTCTAACCATTTTTATCTCTTTCTTTCTTCGTATGTACGATATTTGTAAGTTACAGAACTTGTTTGGATGCACCATAATTCCTTGGATGCACCATAATTTAACAAAAAAATAAAAATAAAAAAACAGTTTACACTGTAGATGTTGCCAGATTTGCCACAAATTCAGTAAATTTGGTAGTAGATTCTTTGTGCTGCACGAAATCTGAAATAAAAATGGCCTGGTTGTAATATTGGTTGCGTGTGTGAGGATTTTGAATCTGGAATCTGAAGCGAATACTTTTTATCTGAATGATGTTTCTGTAATAATAGTACTGATGTGTGTAAGTCTTTGAAAAACCAAATAACCTCAATGTTATGAAGCCAGAAAAATTTCCTCTCCCATAAATGTAGCCTTACAGTACAGACAATGAACATGTTATGGAGATGTACATGCCCAGGGGGGTACTCCGGATTTCAAGTGATGGGGATGATCAAAGGATTTTTTGGGTTTGAAATTTTCGATTCCGGGACTTTTTTGGGTATGAAAATTTGGCAAGTATTTTTTGGGGTAGCTTGATTTGAGTAGGGATTTTTTGGGGGTATTAAAAAGAATCGGTAGTGCCCTGGCTACGTAGTTCTGCGAGTGAAGTACAAACAAACGTGTTTTGCTGTTGTTTAATAGTTAACTATGGTGTCGCTTTACATCGTACATGTTCTACATTAGTCTACATTTTTGGTCCAGGCATTTTTTGGGGTTTTGCTGGAAGCCCTAGGGATTTTTTTGGGTCTTGACTTTTGGCTCCATTCGACCATTCCCGTCACTTGAAATCCCGAGTACCCCCCCTGGGTGTACATGTATGTTTTATTTGTTGTTATTTTTAGGTACTCTGCTGTAAGAAGGCAGTTTGGTCCACCTGGAAAAGATGAGATTCCAGTCTTAGAATACCAAATGCAGGTTGGTTTCTCCCTGGACATGTAGTCGGTAATAAATTTATACCAAAAATTGCCACTTCAATGATTCTCGCGCTACACGATTCTCCCCCGCCGCATGCTATGAGAATCATGTAGCGCGCAACATGATTCTCATCGCGCAGGAAACGAGACGCAACTGGTAACTTACTTTTGAGCAGTACTGTACAGTGTGGCTAAGTAGTACCTCTGCCTGTATGGAATTGGCATAAATTTCATGAGGTTCCAGTCCTTGGGAACCAAATAGGTCAACACATATTTTCCATGTAGTCTGCACTACATATTCAAATGTATAATTTTGTCTCAGAAGTCTTTTGACTGGTGATTGTAAATGTATTCTTTATTCCTATTGTGTTTAATTGAGCAGTGACACTCCAACAATAATGAATGAGATTCAAGTCAGGACTGAATGGGTTGATTTGCAAGACAATTATTTATTCTCCATTGCATCTAATTCCTCCCCTCACAACTGTAAATATTTCATATGTATAGTACATGAAAGGTTTCCTTTGGGTCATTCCCGAGTTTAAGTCGTGGTTTCTCTACTTGTAACACTGTTTAACTTCAAGTGGATGGAACGATCTTTCCCTAACAGTTCAGTTTACAATACTAGTAGTTATGAATATGCATATTTATATGACTCCAACTTAAATTTCTGTAACTGAAAAAAAATTTTCTCCGCTTCACTTTTCATAGTACCAAATTTTAATTTCTTTTCTTTTCAGCAATGGCGACTTATTCCTAAGCTTGCAGCAACTTATGCTCTGGCCTACTTTGCAAGGACTTTCTTTTTGAACTTTGTGGAAATGGAAATTGGCACAATGATGGGAGAAAAAGGTGAGGCTCAGGTAAGAAATGATAAAATTTATGAATAACTTGTTAATATTATTATTGTTATTTTATTAACCATAAATAACAACTACAGTCGAGGCAGGTCAAGGAAGGGTACCCTCCAAGATTCTGTTAATAAATTTATTATTTGAAAGGTGAGTCCACTATTAGTTGTAGATTTCAGATTCATTTCTGCATTCTTGCATTTATAATGAGCAGTTAATTGACATGCGAGGTAGTTCAGAAATTTCCGACAGCTCAGTTTTCTTGCATTTGAAAGAAATATCTGCTAAGCAATTTTTATTCATTCAAAGATTTTTCCATCTACAGTACTTATCAATATAACAAAGAGCCAATTTAAGGGAGTGGCAAAATATGTTCGCTATAACAAATATCAAGGTTATTGTCCATAAATAACTATTACTGGGGTGAAGAATTTGGTTCACCATTACCGAGAAATTGAGGCCAAAAATTCACAGCTCTTTATGCATGCAGGAATGCAGATTCGAATTTGATGACTAACGGATTTATTTTTCATGCTTGACCTGGTGTAAAGTCTGCAAAAGATAAGTGGCTAAAAAATCATTACACTGTAAATATGATTATTATTATTATTATTTCTGTGCATCAGGCTGCTTTGGGAAGAGAAATCCATGCCCTGTCATCAGCAAGCAAACCTTTGGCAGGTTGGATGGCACAGAGTGCTATTCAAGAATGTCGAGAGGCTTGCGGAGGCCATGGTTACCTTGCAAGTAAGACACTATTGTTGTTACCCTCTGGTGAGCACATAGATAATGTTTTTAAAATAAAGAAATTATCAGAAATGGTTAAATACAGTAAAATAAACTGTTAATACATATTAACAAGTTATTTTCTATGATGTTGACTGTGATCATATGTTTTTTTGTTGTTGTTGTTGTTTTATTGAATTTGTATTACTGCCACAGAACAAAACTTTGTGTTCATGTTGTACTTTGACTTTCCATCGAACACTTGAATGATTGCTGATGGTTTCTCTTAATAAATTATTAATTTTGTACAATGCTAGAGGCATAGGGAAGATTTTTTATGCTATAAAAGTTCTAATTTTGTTTCCACAGTTAATAGGTTTGGTGAATTAAGAGATGATAATGATCCAAACTGCACATATGAAGGAGACAACAACATGCTTTTGGGGCAGACCAGCAACTATTTGCTGTCTCTTTTAGAAGCCAAAGAAAAAGGTATTCTTTCCACTCTGTGTCAGTGTTGAGTTTCTTAATTTTGAAAACTTTTCTGTCCTTTCCCCCTCTCTTCGCTGCAGCAGAGTTAGCTCAGATGGTATTCTTAAGTGGCTTGTAATTTAACAGTAAATGTAACTGGCAGAATAGTAGCAACACATGTACAAAATAGTAAAACTAAATGAAAATGAATGTGTGATACCTTAAGTTTGAATTAATGTGCACTGAGGTCTTAAAAACTAAGAATTGTGTCATTGAAAGACCTTGAAAAATTCTTTGTCCATAAAAGAGTACACACCTTGTAAAGCTGACAAAGCGATTATACTGCTTTTTCCTTGCAAATACCTTGCCCTGGGTGTGACTTGAAATATCTCAGCCCCATTTCCCACAGTGCTGGCAAGTTACACCTAACTCTTAACTTGGTTGACATACACTGTATTCAAATGGTGTAACCACTGCATTGGCCGGGTAGTTGCCTAGGCAATAACATTAAGTGTGTTGTACAAAAGGGATTTATGGTTATAAGTTTATTAAAAGGAATTTATCGTTAAAGAAGGAACAATTTCAACGAAAGCTGTCTAGTAGTAGTAATGCAAGAGCTGGCAGAAATGTTTCTGTTATTATTTTCCAAACAGGAGCAACAATATCCTGTCCACTTCATTCAGCGGACTTTCTTGATAACACTGAACAAATCATGTCAAACAAATTTCATGCAAAGACAGAGCGAGAATGCAGAGACCCAGACTGTAAGTACATTGCTGCTTTTATCTCTGTGTAGAAAAAGAAGTATATATAGGACATGTGTTTGACCAGTGTCGGATCTAATTCAAAAGAAAGTATTTCATAACAGTGCAAGGGCTTTTTAATTACTAACTTTGAGACCACTTTGTACTTTGAAAGGTATCTATGACAAGTCTTTTACCACAGGAGACCCAAGTTAGAAAGTGATATTTCAGGGTGTGACCTTCTGATGAAAGTGTTGTTAGGTTTAATATTCCTGTGAGTATTGGGTGCCTGTGCGATACTAGCATCCTAGCAGTGGTGGTCTCTTCTAAACTTCAACAGAGACTTGGGTAAACATTCCTTAGCAAGCATCTCGAACAACCTAATAAGGAAACACCATTCGCACGGTCTGTGGTTACTAGATACAGAGCCGAACAACATTTAGTGCCTAAATCTTATGATTTCATGTTTAGATAACCATTCCTACTGAATTTATAATTATGTAGTAATTTACTAGACCATGTCGTTGTTACTATTTAGTTTTAGTGGGAGCTTTCCAGTGGCTTGTGTGCTATCTGTTAAAAGAGAGTGCTGCCAGGCTTAGACAACAGTTGACAAATGGAAAGGTACTGGTGATTTTTGAACCCCTCTGCTCTGCATAGTGTTTATTAGATGAAATCTCAAGGTAAATCCTGCATGGTCTGAAAAAGAAAGTTATGTGGAATGTGTCAACATTACTATAGCCTGCATGGGAGGCACAGGTTTTTTTAGGGTGAACGGAGGAACTGAGGATGCTCAAACACAAGCCCTCCCACGCTCCGTAAAACTAACCAAAACTCCAGCCGGCTCTTACCAAGCAGGCTATATTTATTTAATAACCTGACCTGTTGCACTCAGTTTTTTTGTGAACTGCTGAATTACATTTAACATTTTCCACAGGAAATAGTTGTAGGGTTTGTACATTACTAGGTATTGACCGAGGGATGGGTCCCACTTCCATGTGGACTTGTGGTTGATATAAAGTTGGTTTGGACTTGCATCCGATTTATTTATGAAGTGGCACGAATCTTTTTTTAAATTTTTTTTTAATACAACAACACTTTATTTCATATTTACATACAAAGGAAAAATTACAAAAATTGCAGAAAACTATAAAAAAAGTAGCAAAATTACAGTTTACACTATAGCTTTAAAAAAAGGAAAAAACAAACAAACAAACAGACAGACAACTTAAACAGGACAGTTAAATTATTAAGTCTTTTAATCGTCAGATTGCTGCCTTCAGTTCACTTCCATAGAATATTACATTCGTTTAAAGAGAGGAGGTTTTTTAATCGAGACCATTTCTTTTTAAAAGTGTCTAAAGAATTATGGTCTTTTGCAATTTGCCTTTCTATTCCACAGTACATTGAACTGTTTGTATGTACATTTGGATGTTTGGGCACGTATCTCTTTGTTTACAGGTGTAGATATAATGCCTGGCATTTGCATTGCAGGACGGTGTGACAAAGATTTGTGCCACTGCCAGGCCAGCCAGCCAGGAAGTGGCACAAATCTTTGTCACACCATCCTGCAATGCAAAATTGAAGCAGTAGCAAAATAATTTTTGTCACAGTGATGTCTAACTGAAAACTGCTCTAAACAGCAATTTTTTCAGCTCAGCTGAGCTTCAGCTCAGGTTCTTATGCATAGTCTTTGTCAACGTGTTGATAATCAATATTTTTGGTGCTTTTTCAGGACCCTTTTACTGCCAGGAATGACAGTCAGGTGTTTTACTGCAGATCATTAGCACTTGCTTACATTGAGGTGAGGTAATCCTTTAACTGAGTGCCCCACCCCTCTCCCTCTCTCTTTTCACGTCAAAATCAGATTCTTCTGTTATCCTTGACAAGCTTATCAGTTGACTCGAAGGTTTTTGGATTGAGGCCTAAGCTTGTTGTGCTTTACCCATGGGGGTCTTTTTAATGGTGATATTATCCGGGGGGGTACTCCCTTATAAGGGCTTAATGGGGACGTGCGGCCAGCCAGGGTATGTTTTCGGGATTTTTGTCTTAAACAGGGTATCGACTTTATCATTTTTTGTCTTAATCAGGGTATTGATTTATCAATTTTTGTCTTAAACAGGATATCTTTTCTTGGACGATAAACAGCAAAATTTTTACAAGCCCTAATGTTAATCAATATTGACTTCCGTTGACTTAAACAGGGTATCAAAAATCGGAATTCTGTCTTAAACAGGGTAGGAAAATCAGCGATGTTTTTCTTAAACAGGGTCAGGGTATGAGGGGCCGCACCGCACCTCCCAACCCAGGGATATATCGAGTTCCCCCCCCCCCGGGGATATTATATTATTCCCATTAAAAAGATCCGCATAGCCAGAATCTGCACCTACATTTTTCAACCACACTTTGAGGAAAAGATAACTGTTGTAGAATCATTTCAAGGGCACGCAAAAAACCCCTCTGTTGTGGTGGAATTTTGGCCAAGTTTCTACTTTGCACAAAAACGCCTATCGATCTTGTAGCAGACTACGTATCCACTCCATAGCTTTCTCAATTGTATATTTTCAGTGCACAGTTTTACAGAGATTCAAAGAAGCAATTTTCAATGAAGAGGAGACTCCCCAAGCACTGAAACCAGTTCTTCTTAAGCTATGTTCCTTGTATGGTTTGTGGTCGTTGGAGACACATCTCACCACTCTATATCAAGGTCAGTTTATTACAACTGGTGACTGCTGACTGAATAAAACCCAGTCTTGTTACTTTACGTATCAGGCCTTCCTCGGAAAGAACCCGGGTATAGAGGCAATGCCCCCTCTCTCTCACTTCCCCCCAAATGGGACTCTGGTGCATCGTAGGATTAATCTCACCCTGGTGGTATTGGTATTTCTCATGAGCAGTAATAAATTTGACCTAATTGTTTGATGAAACTGTCCTATTGTCAGGAGAATTTAGGTTTTGTTCATTATGTCCCTTCGACTCTCAGAGTGAATGAGGGCAGCCTTGTAAGGTAGCTGCAACTTTTGAGGCTGTGGACAAAATCCTGCGGTTTGATCATTCAAATAAAAGTGAGCTTACGCAACACGATGGACGAGGAAAGAAGACGGCAAACTTTGTGTGACACACGTGATAATAATTTTGTTTGGAAAACATTTCCGCCGAACTTAATTCACCCTCCTTTATAAACAGGTCTTTTTGCAAAAGACCAGAAAACATTAACTTAAGTCAAGATCACCACAAAACGCTTTTTTTACGTAATAGGCCTGTCACGTTTGTCACACACAAGACTGACAAGAGTTTTGTCGTTCTCTTCTTTCTGCCGTCCTGTTGCGTAAACTCACTAAAACCTCTTTGGTTGTGTTTTTTTTAGCATTTTACAATATGAAATTTGGTAATTTTGGTCAGTTGTGACTTTATGGACTTTGGAAATAAAAAGCATATACCCCTTACTAAAAGAAAAGTTTGAAGATCTTACACTAAGCTCAAGTCTTTTTCCATTCGGATCCTAAGTCACGTTGTAACTTACAACACAAACTGTGTTATAGCTGAGGCTAATGGAGTTTTTTCATATGTTATGGCGGCTTAAGTCGGGTCACCAAATGCAACCCACGTTATTAAAACTTGCCACTCCGGTTTACTAAGCATTTTGGGTTTAATTGCAAAGCTGTTTGTTTGAAGGTGGATTCTGTAGGTCAGTAAATGATGCCAGGATTGTAAGAGGAAGTCTCCTGTCACTTTGTTTCGAGGTAGGTATCTCGATCATTCCCAACCCAATACAACGCCAAGCTGCAACCACTTACGAAATATTATAAGTTGTATTAGCAATACTGCGATGCCAGCAATCCCAGCGTCGCCAAATAGGGCTGTGCTACTCACGCCAAGATTTCTGAAGAGGAGTACGTCTAACGTTACTTAAATTAAAATTAAATTAAATTAAATTTATTTTATTTAAGCTCGATAGCGTGAGGAGTGGTTGCCCAATCTCCCGAGCCCGGGGCTCATGTATTAAACGCTCGAGCATTCCGGATCGAATTGGAATTTAGAAATGTTGGTTTTTGCGGAGAGGGGAAAACCGGAGTACCCGGAGAAAAACCTCTCGGAGCAGAGAAGAGAACCAACAACAAACTCAACCCACATATGACGTCGAGTCCGGGAATCGAACCCGGGCCACATTGGTGGAAGGCGAGTGCTCTCACCACTGCGCCATCCCTGCTCCCCCAAGTCAGTCAGTCAGTCTAGTCAGTTTCACTAGATTTTTTCCGGGCTAGTTTCCCAGGCGCATGTTTGGGAGAGCAAGCTTTGAACAGTCTTTTTTCACTGCATAGTTGTCATCGTTGATTTTGAAACAAAGAATGATTAGGGAGACTTCAATTGCGATCAGGAGAGTGGGAATAAGGCTCAAAGAACGAAGTGGAGGAAGGAGTGAACGACCCGATCGCGTTCCCACCAGAAAACCCCTGTAGTGAGGACTTTTGGGTACCACAAAATAGTTTTTTACTACTTTCTTTTAATTTTACAACATCATTAAAATTATAGTATACAACTATCTTTTGGCTCTAGTAGGGAAGGTGAATAGTGGTGGTTATACAGAGACGCGAAGCGTCGAGGTATATTTCTAGCGCTATGAACCGACCCTGAGGGGGATAGTTGTTTTAGTATTTACCAAATCAGTGGGATAAATATCAAAAAGAAACTTTTTGTAAAGAAAAGACGTCACTTAGTTAGAGTTTGTTTGCGTTGCAGTTGACAGTGTTTCAGGGATAATTTTTTTATGTTTTTGTGGCAAATTCAGAAAGAAAATTTTTTTCTACCGACCAGTAAACGCCGACAAGCCAAATGTTGTTTCTTTCTTGGTATTTGTTGGTGCAGCTGCTTCATTCACCGCTAAAATTTTATCTTTCGAAACTGTCGTGAAACGAGGAGCCATTTTGAATCCCGTCCCAAAACAGTGAATTTCCAAGGATATTCCGAGTTACGGGAGCCAATCAGAACGCGCGAAAATCGCTATCCACTGATTTGGTGAACACTAAATACAGTTATTGTTATAAGGAAGACTTATTTATTATTCGCCTTCTTAGACTATCGATTTATCAAAATCGGGCGACCAATGAGCCCACGTGTAAATGTAGCCGTACCCTTGGTTACCATGTGATGTGTTTTACCCATTTGCAAGAGAAGCAGGCGCAGGTCACAGGATCTTAATGTTATCATGTACGGTTGTTTTTTCTTTTGTTAGTTGAAAGGCGAGGCAGTAGCTCTAGTAGACGCTTTAGCTCCTCCTGATTTTGTCCTTAATTCACCGATCGGTCATAGTAATGGAAAGGTAAGCTAACTTTACAGCTATAGACCGAGTAGCCTCCCACGCAGACGTTCTTAGGGGTTCGTCACGCGTTCCTGCCCCTAAAAACGTCTGCGTGGGAGGCTATAGACCGAGTGTATCCGACTTACTGTGCGAGTCCGGTAATTGTTTTTAATTTTAACTTTTAACGCACGGTTAGTGATGTGATAAGGATTGAATATTTCCTACAGACCTTAATACCCCAGTTGTCGCTCATTACGATCTAGACTTTGAATGTTTAGTCATAATTTACACTTGACATTCATTGTCGCACACTGAGTACGTCTGCTTGTTGCCTTTGCCGCGGCTTTTGGAGGCCGTTAAGCGTACTCTAAGCAATGTCATATATCGACTAAAACCGTTCCTGATTGGATCCGACAGTTGTAACACTGTTACAGCTTTTGTATAACTACTTGAAAGTATGACTTTGTTGTATTAGTGTTGTGCGCAACGCAGAGGCCGCCAGAGCCAGCACCAACAAAATTGCCATCAAACAGAAAGTTAAATAAAGAGAGAGAGAGAGAAAGCAAACCAACTAAACTAACGTCGCAAAAACAGCATTTTGTACCTCGTCGAACAGGCGGAGCTGCTGTTTTTCGATCATTGTCTTTAGGCTAAATGTATCACTTGTTGCTTTTCCCAGGCTCACGAGAACTTATACGAAGCGATTATGCAGAACCCCGGGAACCTTGAGCGAGTCTCTTGGTGGAAGGAATGTCGTCAAATTCCAGTCATCCGGGAACGAAGCAAATTGTAAAAAATTCTTTCCGCTCTCAAATACGTCACACATCTTGGAGTCACGTGTTGAGTAACTGGACTCAACACTGTCTTCCAGTGTTGCTCACTTCTTGCGTTACCTATCCAAACGACATTTCATGTCATTGGTAGAGCTACGCTGCGGCAGCAACACTGAGCTCCAGTAAGACCTTGAATTTTTTCCCTGACGACTGATTTCTATTTGCGCAGTTAATGTGGATCATGAACTCCTCTCATAGCATATCTGCTGTTTATATTTGATTTTATTCTTATGCAGTATTTATTGTTATCACATTCGTTCTTATATCTCTGAAGCACCAAATACTTTCAGGTAGTGCTGTTTGTTATGTTGGTCCCTTGGTTTGAAATTGTAAAGGTTTAGGGTGAAATCCTCAAGTGTTACTTCTAAAGTTTTGTAGTTAGAAAATTGAACACGAAGCGTTAAACGCACGACAAATATAAAAGTAAGTGTTAAGTTAAACACAGGTGAAAAAGGGAGGGGTAGAGCCTAGCCTCAAGGGTCTCCAATAGGTTTTTCGGGATCCGGGATTTCCCTAATTGAAGCTCTGGATTCGGAATTTTGATGCAAAATGGGGTCAAGATTTAAGATTGAAAAGTATGACCCCGAGGTTGGACTAATGCCAAAAATAACCCTCGAGATTACGGGATTGCCCGAAATTTGGGTCGGGATTACGGGATTGAAGAATCCTTCTTGGGACCCTCAGCGTCCTGCCTCTTTCATTTCCCATGAAGAAATGTAAAGGATGTTAGTTATACATCCTCATATGGGGCTTTTTTCATGTCTTTTCGAGCAGTTTCATTAATCAGTTCCAGGCAGTTTGAATTTCAGGTCTACAAACTTTTGGCCTGTAGAGTTGTGAAACTTAGAAGCGTCATAAAATCTTCTGACTGTTCACTCTTTGTTGATAAAGACCATTAAAAGTTAATTTTAGGGAAATAGCAGTATCACGAAGCTTGTTATTTCAAAAGACATTGATTTTAAGCGACAAGTGTATATAATATTTGCGCAAATACTTCTTGCCATTATAATGCTCAGTATGGGATATAATATTATTATGATAATTACCGAAGTGTTTGTATCGTAGCCCTTGGGCTCCTTGTTGTATTGATTTTACTCTTTTAGTTTATAAAAAGAACGTAAAATCTTTATCTACGCTCAAAGGTTGATGTAAACTAAAGGTTCCATCGTAGAATCATTAAGTAAAGCTATCGGATTAGCCAAAGTTGGATTCCATCTTCGATATAAGAAAACGACTTGCAATTAACCAGCCTGGTGGCCGAAGATAAGTGGCCGAGTTTGTCCAGCATCTGTGAGATTTTGCAAAGACCAGTAAACCAAGATAAATAACTAAAATATCTTCAAAACAAGAATCAAATGTTAAGTTAATTAATGCTCCTCTGTTATTTGTATTTTGAAATGAGGGCATAATTCTCAACTAATACAAAAGATTCTACTACGAATAACGATAATTCCGTTATTTGCCCTCGGCAGTATTTATAACACTAATGCTAGTGGGTCCGAGCAAATGCCTGAAACCCAAATTTCAAATTGAACTTAACAGGGTTAAGAATCCCAACTGGCCAGAGGCTAGCCTGCGTAGCAAGCGTTTCCGCCGAGTTCGCCCCAATTTTCTCGACGAACTCGCGCGGAAACGCTTGCTACGCGGGCTAACCAGAGGCAAACCAGCTGGCTATTTACAAGCGTGGCCGAGGATTTGAACTCGGGACTACCGAGTGCAAATCAAACCAGCGGTCAGGGAGGGACTTGAACTCGAGGACTCCGGATTACAAGTTTAGCGCTCTAACCGCTTGGCCACGCAGCCTCTAAAATCCCCATTCTAAGTGCCACCCAATCAAACTACAACAAAGCAGACATTCAAAGTCCTAAAATAACTTTTATTCATAATTGTTAATCAATTTGGACATCGCGAAAAAGCCAACAAAGCACTATGCTTTAGGAAAATTACAGTCGGATATTAAATATTTCTGATCAAATTATTCTTTTCAAATATCAATAGTATATAAAAGCGTGTTATTTTTCTGGAGTGAAATACTCCTAAGTGTCGAATAAAAATAACTAAGTCCATTTTGAAAAGTCAAAAATTTGTTTATGTCCCAATCAGTGGTTATTGATAATCACGTTAATATTTTCTTTAGAAGTGTACAGACAACAGCAATTTTCTAAAGTTGTAAACCTTGAGAATTGTCGAAGGTTTTTTCAATGAATTGTCTTCAATTTCGCCCTTCTTAGCGCCAACACGGAGACAAGAAATTTTCTTCACAGATTTTTTACGCCTGCAGCAATTGCAAAGAAGCATCACTATCACTTAAGCTGTACATTATAACCCAAGGGTCTTTCTTTTCAATATACCAAATTTTCATTTTTCTCCCAAGCCGGGCGGACATTGATCGCGCCCGCGGTGTTGTCAGTTAAGTTCCGGTTTATGAGCCATGAAACTAAATTGTAGAAATGAATTCCAAGTTAGAAGATAGGAACAGTATAAAAGGTTGATATATATTTTATCTCACGGTCCGGTATCCGTCCTTCTGACTGACTAATGCGCTTCCGCAAGAATTTTGTGTCGGCAGTTCAAACCTTTTGTTATAAATCGGCTGAATATTTGCAGTCGATTGTCGCTTTTATAAACAAACAGTTGTCTTTCACATAGTTCGTTGATTCTAGCCCGCGGTGCGAAACGAATTGCGGGTAACCAAATCCGAGGGTGGCGCCATTTTTATTGGGTCTCTGGAAGCTTTTCCAATTTGGATCCGGACTAAATGATTGGCTGATGTTCCGTTGGCCCCTACTGGGGTCTCTGCTTTGGTCCAAGAGCGAGAGAGTGATCTCACCCTCAAAAGGCCATTTTAAGAGTGTATCGTACTCGCCCGGGAGAAGACGGATGTACAACGATAGATGGGAACCTTCACCGCTTCCGTTCCCGTATGGAAACATGACAACCTTGAATTTGTAACCGTACGGACTTGTGTAGAAAGGCGGACTGTGAAGCTCCACTCCGGTCTTACGCTTTGCCTCTGCAAATTTCTCCCAGAAATTGTCTATTTTCCAGTAGAGCTTGCTGTCGGCAAAGGGTTTGCAATGTTTCACAATTTCACGGAGCTCTTTGATCTCTTTTCGCTGATCAATAGCGAGCTGTGACACGAGCTCAAGGTGCTTTTTCATGTCGTCTTCGAGGTGTTGCGCAAGAGTGCGCTGAGGACACTGCAAAGAAATAGAAACAAATTTCTCTCACAACTCTGTTTACTACAATTTTTGTAATTATAACAGAACGTTGTCGAATTCTTGGGCTTTGGTTTCAGTATTTTATTTAACCTTAGCGGAAGGAAACGAATTTAATAGACCCCTATCCCAGATTTAGAATTTCAGACCACCCCCGAATACTTGGTGTCGACACATGTCTTTGCGCATGCGCATGTTCTTGCATGCTGTTGCTGTATTTTGTCATTGATTTGTCTATGAAAATTAGGTCAAATACCAAGAGTTCGTGTCTGCTTTTACCTGTCAAAATGTTCTCAAACAAGTGAGAGCAATCACGCTTTCTTCCTAACCTACCAGTAGTCAAAGTAAACCCTAGCCTGCGTGGTAGGTGTCTGGACAGGAAGAGAAAGAGGAATTTTACAAAGCGCGAGTAGGAGGGAGACCATTCGTCTTGTAGTTACATTCCCACGCCGGACACTGTTTGCACATTTTCCTGCACCTAAAACATCTTGCGCGTTTTTGCTCCAAAATCTCATCGGTCCATTAAATTTGGAAGTCAGGCAGTTGTAAAGCCCTCAATCATAGCCAAGGTATGAAAACTGTTGAAAAGCAGTTGCTAAACTTAATATAGTTATGAAAAAAGTGCACAACAGTTACAGTGTACAAAGAACTCACTTCATGTTCACAGCCGACATGTTTAAATGGACAATGAATATGATTCGTGCGACAGTCGTTAGAAAGATGACGATTCACCTGAAAAAGGAACAGAGAAAAACATTAGTGGGTGGAATGCGATGTGCGAACTGTACAAGAGGCAAACAAGTGACATAATATCGTCCAGAACATTGCTCACTTCTTCGCGTGGAATCTGTGAAACACCACAGCTGTTGGGACAGCTCAGAGGAAAACGAGGACACAATTGAAGATGGCTCTAAAAAAAAGAGAGAGACAGAAGCTCACATCACGATCTCAAAACCAGAGATTAAGAGTTGTGTTTTTTAAAAGACAATTCTTCTCGAATATTTCACTTCTATGACTAATAAAAATCCGGTATCAAATCATGGCAGCATCCTGGGTTAGTTAGATCATTACCGAACCAATAAGGAGCGAAATACAGTTTCTAATTAAATCAAAGGAGCGCAAGTATGTCCAGCTAATCAGTGAAACAGGACGGTACACACTTGCTACCAGTTGTGTTCCAAGGGGTTGGTGCAGAGGATTGCTAGCGAAAAAAAAGAGGCTATTTGAGGAGAAAAGGGGGTGGGGGGGGCATTGGCCCTCTCTCTTACACTTATTGGAGCTCACAGTATTTTGCACCTCTCCGCACAACGCCTCCTCGGCCATCACTCCTATGTATGAGCACAAAAAATGACTTTATAGGGGTAACACAATTGCTGGTAAACCGTTAGTTTTCATTGTGGCCCACACGTTTAAGAATCCCGACAGGCCGGAGGCAATGCAGTTGACTGTTTACAAGGGTGACCGAGGAGTTGAACTCGGGACTACCGAGAACAAATCCAGCAAGCGGTAAGGGCGGGGATTGATCTCGGGGCCTCCGGATCATAATTCCAGCGCCCTAACTGCTCAGCCACCCTGTCTCTTCCTAAAAAGACCCTACGTTTGTGTATACGTTAATAATTTGGTGCCATGATCGCCAGAGAGGTACAGAAGCTACAGACCTGCATATCCTCAAACTTGACTTGCGCACGACAGTACTGGCATTTAGTCAGTCTCCTGGGACATTCCTCTGACATGTGGATAGTGATCTCACCACGTGCAATTCTTTGTCCACAAGTGCAAGTGAAAATGTCTGACTGGCTTTCAAGTTCCACTTGACTTGATGTGACCGATCTGGCTCGCTCCGATCCGCGGTAAACTACAGCGCTTTCAAACTCCTCGCGCCCAATGTAATTGAGGTGGGCTGGAAACGAGACAGAGCGAAGCGGTGGCGAAGGGCTTGGGGCCAGTACTTCCTGAGAGGCACTACTGCTGCGGTTACCACCACGCAAATGTCGCGTGTCGAAACGGACTGAATTTTGAGGCATGCTCTGTCGGTGGTTTCCTCCTCTCTTTAACGGTGGAGGCTCAGATTCCGACGGAAGGCGTCGACAACGTCTCAAGTGTTCCTGTACAAAAGAAAAGAAATGATTGCTCACAGAGTGTTGCATCCGGGGTGAATTCACGCATCTACGCCGTTACATCGACGACACGAGTCACATTGTTATGAGCAACTAAGTTGGAAACGATGATTCTCCTTGAACGAAATCTAAAATGGCAGAAGTGCTCTGTAAAGCAACACTTGGAATACTTTCCCTACTTGATGTAGATTAGTAAAGGCAAAAATGACTTTTCCTTATTAGGGCGCATCCAACCGGCCACCTTTGTGGAAATTTCGTGCGCCTGCCTTTGTGGTTATGGTTTGTACTTTGCGGCGTCTGCATGCGTTTATTTTCCCGGGCAAATGCGAGGATTAGCGGCTTTGCGCCTCACAGAGATAAACACACGTACCTGTTTATCTTTAAAGACAATCTCTACTGAGCAGTTTTCGCAGTAGACCCATCGATGTGAACACTCGTTCCTCAAGTGCAGCGGCATCTGATGTCTTTTCATTCTACTCCCGCAGCCATTACTGCACATGATTATTTCTTCATCCGGGTTTCGCCTGGCTGCAGGACAGTTGTGGTTCTATATAAGGTAGTATAAACAGTAAGTCACGTCAATAAGGACAATTCTGACTCCTGTACGATGCAGTCTAATCTAAGTTGTACGCTAAATAGGTAGTACGTCTTGACAGGGCTTACCAGCTATGACTGTTTAAACTAAAGCCCGTGCAAACGGTCGCAACATTGTTGGCCAAAAACAGAACTCCAAACATTGTTGGATGTTACACGTTGCGTCCGTTTGCACACCCTGTTGCATGTTGTTGCGTGCTGTTGAGAGTTGTTGCGCAAAGTTTGAAACCGGTCAAACTTTAAGCCCCGTGCAAAAGGACACAGCGTTGTTGGGAGTTGTTGCGTCCGTTTCCACGTTAAATCTAATGAGATCCGGCGAGTTCTATTACTATTACACTTGCGCGTAAGGCTTTCTAACTACCGAGATGGTTTACTGTAGTCTCAACAGTCACTGAAATGTAAGTGTGGAAGTGAAGGAGGGTTAAATGTAGTACTGTTTGTCATGCCGTAAAATTCTGGGTAAACTCGAAATTAGACAGATGCACAGCTACTGATCATGAATTATTCAGGAGCCCGATGTCAGGAATGTCAGGTTTTAAGTGTGATCAGCTTTACAAAAGCTACTAAGCAGTGCCTGTTGGTTTGTCTCTTAAAACGTTGGGGTAGAAGCTTTACAATTATGTACAAATTTGCTTCTGATTTATCATTTTGGTATGTCTGGCGCCTCTGAAGTGCATTTCCCACAGAAAAACCCAGCTGAAAGGATAAAACCATAAAAAAAATTGCTGTTTTATGGAATGGGAGGCATTGCTTTCCCCAGCAGTAGCAAAATTAATATATTATAATCCTTCTCACCTGTAGCTTTTCAAAGGTTGTCTCTTTCTTGCACCGGGGACATTTAACCCATCGCTTCACGCAGTCCTTTTTCACATGATCCGTGATCTTTCTCCGCTGAATCCGCTGACCGCATCCTGCAATGCAATCCACCAAGGCGTACTTGCAACCAGCCATGTGATCCTAGGGCGTGACAAGGTAACGCAATTTTTTAGACTTTCCCGTGACGTGGTGGTTACCATTTCGGTTACCGTAAGAGAATAGATCCGGTCGGTTCGGTAAGAGATCTAGTGGTATAATGGCGAGCGTTTCCGGCAAGGGCTGAATATTAAAAAGGCACAAATAGAATAGCTAGAGAATGAAAGGTAAAAAGTGAGCGACATTCCGTGTCATTCATCCCAACTGGAATGAAAGGACAACCTTAAAGGTAGTCAGCCTACAATTTTTCGTTTAAAAAATTAAACGCCCTCCTAGAGGTCTGTTAATTTTGCTTGAAAACACCCTATGCAGTTTCATTCATTCATTCCGTATATCTGATTAAACTTGATACTTGCTAGAAATATCGGTAATGACCTGTTCAAGGTATAGAAACGTGACAAGTGAGATAATCTTGTCAAACCAAAAGCGGGTGAAACACACATCTTACCACTGAATAATGAATTGTGGAAGATTACTTTAATTTCAAGTAGCAGAACTACGTATATTTGCACAAATCTGGATGCAATTCTCTAATGTGTCATCTTCCTTCTTCATTTTTTACA